TAAATCAGTAATATGAGATGTATTCACCCAATTTCGTTTCAGGTGATGAAGGACTGGTAGAAGAATTTTCCCACAATCATATGAGTAGAACTGACGTTTCCATTGAATTTCACATAGCCTTGCTTTCACAAAAGTTGTTCTCATCCCGGCTGGAGTGAACTGCAGTTTCGACCTCGCATCGGTCTTATCAACGCTCCCAACGAGAGTCGAACTGTGACAGTGAAGCTTGACACGCCAACCACTCGGCCACATTGCCACGAGTGCCTTTGGGTCACAGGGCAAATGTGAATTTCAAGGAAGGCCAGGCCTTTTGCCATATCATATTCTTTGGTGGGATATTCAATGAAGCAAACGTATATTTGCTATAACAATTAATTACGTTACTTTATTTTTCGCAGTTAAGTATTGTTTTGAGACTAAGATGATGAAGGATTGGTAGAAGAATTTTCCCACAATGGTATGAGTAGAGCTGACGTTTCCATTGAATTTTACATAGCCTTGCTAAATAAGTAATTAGTAATATATATATATATATATAAGTAATATAGTCTATTGTGGTAACGTATAAATAGTTAAGTGAAGCACATTTAACTGAATCACTTCTGCTCGCCATTCATCTGGGGCAGAAGGGATGATTGGGACAGCGATGAATTCTTATGATTCTAGTGAAGCCAATATGATACTTACTTATGACTACATTACTTATTTTTTGTTTATACTTAGGTTTTCCAGACTACCACTAGATTATAAATTCAACTACCGGTCCGCCTATCGCCTTAAACGAAATACGGTGAATAGGCCTCATATCTATGATCTATGTGTATTCTCGAAAGCCTAAGTACAAACGAAAAATAAGTAAGTAGCGGTTCGACCTTATTTTCACAATTTGATTATATTGGCAGGAAGACTTGGAGGAATGCACCTAGTCCGGAGTCCATTTTATGCATGATCCTTTCCAAAGTCGTATCGTCGACGTGGTACATTCCCAGACGTTTCGCTGGAATCGTTAGTGAGCCTTGCCATCCTTTGCACCACACCACAACTCGTCAAAGAGACATGTGAAGTCGATCACTTTGACCAATTGTCTTCTAAACAGTTGTGATATCTCTCCTTCTGTCCTATATCCTCAAATCATACTTTCAATGACACTATTTCTTACTCGTTTATCTAAACCTAGTAGTGCTATTTAAAGCGTCATGCTCTGCACTCTGCCTCAAGTCTTTGACAGCACGTATTTGCCAGCCACACTGAGCAAGTCCCTAAAGTCTGGGGTCTCAATTGGCATGGAAACCGAACTTGACGCTGGAGACTACCTTATCTGCAATCGCGACCATACAAAAGGTCATACCATCTTGGTCATCATACCTTCGAAAAATAAGTAATATTGTCGAATGATATAGCAAATAGAAAATTGCTTTATCGACAATTACCCCCCTCCCCCCCAGAATGTGATGTCGGAAAATGCCCGACCTACATTGAAATTCACATCTACTCTGTGCTTAAAGGGCACTCATGGCAATGTGGCGTAGTGTGTAACGTGTCGAGATTACATACTGCACTGTCATGGTTCAAGTCCTGCTGGCTGTTCCGATGTGACCAGTTTGGGCGAGGTCGAAACCGCAGTTCACTCCAGCCGAGATGAGAATACCTTTTGGAAAACGCAAAGTCTACTCAAGTGATTGTGGTAAAACTAAACTACCCGTCACTTTATCACCTTAATCGAAATAGGGTGAATACACTTCATATATAAATTCAAGACTTTCTCCCAACGCTCTTTTCTCAATGAGTTATTATGACACATCTCCTCTTTAAACATATGTCACTTTGGTTATGGTATAATTCAGGGGTTCCCAAACTTTTCTAAGTCGCGGCGCTCTTTTTCAATTAAAATTTTTCCATGGCGCCCTACTACTCGTAAGTAAAAGATAAAAATAAATAAAACTCATCGTTTATTAACATTAAATTAATATTTAATAATTAATGTGATGGATGAGCCCCGGCCGTCCAGGGCGTCGCGGCGCACAGTATGGGATTCACTGGTGTAATTGATAAAATGCTCAGGAAAGAAACACATGAGGGTTTCTTGGAGTGCATCAGACCGTGACGGCGAGTTGAGCAGTCCTGCCTCTGCCTCCGTCGCGGCTTCTGCAGGCCCACAAGCCTCAAAAACGGCGTCGGTGTTGTTTATGCCCTCTGCAACTCAGGCGCCAGGCCGGACAAACCTCACGATGAGTCCGTTTGCTACAGCTCCGGACGCCCGAGCCCAACGCCGGAGCTGCCGGCCGGGCGTGCCAAGGAACCGGAGGCCTCGGAGCACCGAGTTCGGCGGATCACGTCACCGAGGCGACGGTGCTGGCAGCATCTGCCCAAACGACCGTCGTCGGATGACAAGTGGGCCGATTCGTGATCAGCCTGCAAAGGAAAGTTACTCAACGCTGCCATCTTCTCGGCCTATCCACTTTTACAAAACCGTCTTGTATTAATAAATAATTGGGCATGACAGTTAACAGGAGCCCCGAATAAGTAATTAGTCTTGTCCCAGTAGGCATACATGCAGTCATACCACTGGAAGGACAAACATGCAGGCAGAAGGAGCTCGAAGTGGATATGCTGCTCCGTGTTGGATGGGCAAATTCGCCCGTGGACACGATGTTGCCACTACATAGTGACTGAGTTGCAAGCAATTAAA